CCTCGGCTTTTCCTTCAGAAAACCATCTTTTGTAGGTTTTCAAGCCAAAAGAGCTTATTCTTACTGGATATTTTTTCTATAGAATCTTTTAATTATTGAAGTGAAAACTTCTATAGGCAGGTTTGAATGGGGAGTAAATTCATGTAAGTCGTCATTGACATGGTCACGTGACGTGTTAACGCTAACACTCAAGAGTGCCGATAGATGTCAAAATCAGATAAATCACTTTTAATTTAAGATCAAGCAATTAATTTGAACAGACAAAAATAACAACTGTTTGTTTATACTTTAAGTTTTCCTCATGGCTGTTTTTTTTTTCTTTTAACTAAATAAAACGGAGTTTTAAGTGTGCGGAGGCAAAAAAGAAAACAACTACTTATACATATATATGTAAAAGCGAAATAGCTCTCGCTGATTAACGACGAAATCTCAGAAAGTAAATAAGGTAAGCTTCCCTAATAATAAGGCTCACGTTTTTACAAATACATATAAATCGACTTTGAGAAGTGTTTTAATTTATAAAACGTATTGAGGATATAAATCTGAAGAGAAAGCATTGTGCAAAATTAACGTGTTGAGGAGATTTTTATTAATATTATTGTTTAGCGCGAGAAGTTTGATAAGACGGCTCTTATTAGGAACTCTACCTTATTGGGGAAACTTACCTTACTATAAATTTGAACTTTTGCAGGTACCTCGTACAGACAAGGTATTTGCTAAATAATTTTGTATAAATTCGTAAAAAGGCCAACAAAATTGTGAATTAGTTTGATTTAAAGTGAGAATCTTAGAGCAAGTGTTCTAAAAATAATTTTTAAATGAATGTTTGTTTGTAAACTTACTTATTTGACTAACACTTTATACTGTTATAACACTAACAGTTCAAGACTGTAGTGTCTATTCAAATCCTTATAGATTTCCTTATTTCATCTCAATCCATTTTTCTTAAAAAACAAATTTTTCTTCATTGTATTAAAAAAGGTAGAATTAAATGAGTGAATAAACTTTAACTAGTTCTTATCAAGCCTGAGGATGAGGTATTTTTTTCCGAACTAGTTGAAGCCTCAATAAAGAGATTGCTTATTTTTTTTTAATTAAATTTGATCCATTTTCGTTGTTATATTATTACAACCTATCTAAAATAATGTAAACCCCCACATATAAAGTCCCATATATAAGATTATTAAGTAGGTTATTTACTACATGTTCCAAATAAAAATATCCTTTTAAATATGTACTTTACGGACTAACTCCAATATGCAAAGAAGTAAGTCGTGTATAAAATAATTTATTCATATGGAAAAATATCTGCATTTTTCATAAATTATGTGGAAAAGCTTTCTTTAATAACTTATGTTTGAATTCTTATGTAATGTGAAAATTTTGGGGTTGGAGTTATAGCGATTTATTTTATGTAACAATGAAAGTAATTTGTATGAAGTACTCCTATTAATATATTATAATAATTGTGCCGCTCCGTAACTCATTGCGACTATCAACTCCGTAGGCGATCATCGTAGATTTTCAATGTAAGTTAGAATACAATAGACCAGGGTCGATAATTTTTGAAACCAAAAAAAAATAATAGTAGGATGAAACCCATTGGAAAAGGAGGAGAATATAACAAAAATGAAAGAAAAAAATAATTTACGGGCGATCTTAGGTCGGGAAGTGGAAGGAGGTGAGTTTTTAAGGGTAACAAATAGCTTATCTCGATTTCCGGCAAAACTACCAGTCCTATGGAAAAAAGTTAATTGGCAAAGTTGTAAGTAATAAAAATATTTAGCTAATAAAACTTTTGTTTTTACACTTTTTTCACATAACCTCAAAATTTACGTGAAAGATTCAAATAACCAAGTTTTTGATTTTTTATTTTTATCTATTACAAAAAAAAAATCAAATATATAATAAATTCTAATATATAATAAATCTTAATAAATACTCCAATATTATAGGCGTAACAAAGAAAAAAAATAGCAAAAAAATTAAACAAATTCAACTATCTTTTCGGATTATTTCGCGGATTTATTTTGATTTTTGGTTCCCGACGTTTCGAATGCTTTACAGCATCCATGGTCACGGGAGAGACTGAGGTGTTACATGTCTTAAAGATATAGTTATTACAGACAGCCTACCCACAATTAACAAAATGAAAATTGCACCAATTACATTACAATATTTTTAACTTTAAACATTTTTTATAACTTTAATTATAATTGAATATGGAAAATTATTTATTTAATTTTTGCTATTATTTTTATAATTATTACAATTTTAAAAATATTAATTAGTAATCTATATTTAGTGTTGCCATTATTATATTTATAACCATAAATAAAAAATATAAAAAATATAAAAAATAGTTTTATTTAATAATGTCAAACATTCGCGTAAATCTAAGAAAGTATTAAACAAATTCAGTTATCCTCTAGCAGTTGAGCCACGCCTTATGTGTAAGCGTTGGTTGGACAAACTAACGGTATTTGTGTGCGCTAATTAGCGACCCCATAAAGAATTAATCGTTAAACGACTTGTCATCAGAAATATAAATATCCTAATAAGCCGCCAGTAAGTAATCAGAGTTGAAGCAAAAATTTAAAACTATATATAAAAGTGAATTACCACGCACTGATTAATTATGAAATCTCAGAAAGTATAAATGCTAGATACTTGGAATTTGGCAGGTAGATTCTTCATACGCAAAGATTAGTATAAATATTAGATTAGTATATATAGTAATAGATTTTTTAAAAGTTAAGCTCTAAAATTTTAAAATCGGTACTAATATTATGAATGTGAAAGTAACTCTGTCCTGCTGTGTTCTGTACTTTTTCACGCTTAAACCACTGAACACATTTGGATAAAATTTGGCAAGGATATAAATTTCATCCGGGGATTGGATATAGATTATCCTAGACCCCCACCCCGCTTATGACGAAGCGAAGTTGCGGGCAAAAACTAGTTCTGTATAAAAATATACATATAATTGGAAGTTTGTACGAGAATCCGTTATTTTTATTGTAACAGTGATCAAAATTCGATTATGCTTATGAGTAAAAGAATAATCGTATTCTAATTTAAAGTTATAGAAAATATCTACATCCTTTGGGGATAAAAAATAAGGCATGTATGAAACGTAGGTGCGTTAAAAGGCTAGTTTTAAATAGTTTTATTGTTTCAATGTTCTCATGGTACAAGTCAAATAAGGGGTTTATAAAGATCATCAAGGCTTTTTAAACCTGTGGCAAATACTTTATGGGTTATCGCTTAGGTATATGAGTCGTTAATTTTTTTTCTATCTACCTCTATATTTGTACCTTAATCACTGGATGCACTGATTTTATCGCCAATTTTATTGGTAAACAGAAGAAGCCAGAATATATAGATATTAACAGAAATTTTTATATTTATATTATAAGCTTTTTATAGTGGAAAATATACGAGATCCCGTGGAATAAAGATCATAAAATAAAAGTTTATTTTAAAGCTAGAATAAGAAGGCTTAGATTAGATGCATTCTACAATCGCTTTCGCTTTTAAATATGTACTAAAAATTATATGAATTTAAGTATTACATCAATTCGTTATACGCCATTTCCATCTAGGTATTTTAAAGAGTAAAAGATTGTTAGATGTTATTTTGTCTTAACCTCAAAGACCGAAATAGAAAAATGTTGCTTCTCTAATTGCAAGTTGTAATTTGACGACACGTTTGGCTCAGTCTGTAATGACCCTACTTGCTTTGCCAGCTGTCGCGGGTTGGAGTCCCGCTGCGGGCATTCATTTGTGTGATTAACACGTTACACGAATATTTGTACTTTAGCCATGAGTTTATATTTATTTATAATATGTATGTATTTAAAGTTATATATGTGTAGTGTATCAACTATCTGGTATCCATAACACAAGCCTCGTAGCTTACCATAGAACTAGATGGTGATGTGTGTTAATGTTTAAACATATTTATTTATTTAAGTGAAATACTAAGCTACAGTATGTATATTTAAACTACTCCTTCGCGTCAATGACAGCCTTGGTAGCGTCACGCGGCTGGTTTCATTCCCACTCCATTGATTTTATAATAAAAAATAACAAGTACCTACTCTTTCAAAATACATTATCTATACATATAGTAAAATTGTAACTAAGCCGAATCTGTACATTAGATATTTTTTGGAAAATCTTATTGAAATAAACATTTTTATCGATACAGAGGCCAAATCTATAGTTTTTAGAATTTTTGTCTGTCTGTCTGTCTGTCTGTTACCGGATCACAGAAAAACCACTGTTGGGATTTTGATGAAATTTGGTATGGTGATAGCTGGTTATCAGGGTCAACATACAGGGTACTTTTTACCGCGGGAAAATATCTCACTTTTGAGAAAAAATACAAAAATTGCAATGTAAGAGTATACTAATATGTAAAACCTAAGAATCTGGTTTTTGGTCATCTGAACGCGGGCAATGCTAGTAATTTTCAAAATTTCCATAGGTATCGCTTATCAATGAAAATTTTAAAAATAGTATTCGTAGAATGTCTTCCTATCTTAGTCTGAGTCTATCAATGAAATTTAAATTACCTAATATTACAGAAATGTTTCTTATTAGGAAAGCTGATAAAATCTTATCGTCCCCCTTACAACATATTTTTTGTGACAGGGCACGTAGCTTAAGTGGCTCTTTTTTCTATCATTCCGGTTAAAAAATGATATCAAAAAGTGTGACTGGTACAATTTGTATATTTTGAAAAGCAGCAAATAATAACGCTAACATTATGCTGAACCATAACTTTTCATTTTATATGTATGTATTGCTTTAATTTTTCCTTACAAAAAGAAGATTTCGTCAATTTTTTTTTAATTTTTATGTGACGCGTCACGCGATATCATCATCAAGTGCGAATCTTTTTATTTTTAAGGAATAGGTCATATAACAATGTTATATTACGTAAACTCATACAAAACCTTATTTGTGATTACAGATTAAGAAAAGATGTGAAAATGGCGTTAAAACTTAAGTACACTGACGAGCACGGCATCCTACATATAGACATGAGTCCCACACACAGCGTGACGGACAAACTGACCGATCCTAAATTCGACTCAATAAACAAGCGATTTGGACAATACGACATCTTCGGGGGCAAGTACGATAGTGGGGAACCGTCTCTATTCAGAAGCCGCTACAACAGTTTCGAAGAGGAACTTGCCAATACGCCTTACGCCTTCACCGAACGAAGGACCAATGAACCTATATTAGACATAACTATTGACGCTTTCGAATCAAAAGATCTAGAAGATAATCGATTTTTCGAAAAAGATGAATTATTCGGACCGAAAATCGATTTGAAAAAGGATTCATTCACTGTCACACAGTTAATTCACGCGCAAGATCGATATTACGATCTGTCGAAGTCCAAAGGTGTTGTGAAAAGTATAGCGAATAGTTTCGAAGTGAAAAGTGCGCCAAGTTCGGCGAAAAGAGTGACCAAAAGTGATGATGCTTTTAAAGTGTTGTCGGCGAATAGTGGGAAGAGTGTGAGAGCCGCGCTAAAGTCACCGTAAGTATTTTTTATAAAAGATGTACATTGTACAACCACTAATAAAATAGCAAATTTAATGCAAATTATATATTACTAGCAACTCAGCCTCGCTTGGCTCGGGTTCGTCCCTTGATTGATTCCCCATACAAACTTTCATACCAATTTTCACAAAATTTTAATGTATTGTTTTCATCGTATTCTCAAACATCTTTTGTATATAATAATTTCTTAGATTTACGCGAATATTTGACATTTTAAATAAAACCACCTCTTCGGATTTTAAATTATAAGGATAATAATATTGCTTAGTATTTTAAGTTTCTTTATGTTTATAAATTTAATAATAGCAACTAAAAAAATTTAAATAATATTTACCAAGCAATTAAAAAAGTTATTGAAATTATATAAATATTGCTAAAATTATAATTAACAAATATTGTAAGGTACTTGTGTGCCATTGTTGTATTTTTTTTTAAATTATTGTATAATTTTGTTGGTAGATAGGTACTGTCTGTACCAACTATTATATACGACCTTTGAGACGTCTAAAACCTCAGTCTCTCCTGTGACCATGATTGCTGAAAAGCATTCGAAACGTCGGGAACTAAAAATCGGGAAAAAAACCGAAAAGATAGTTTTATTTAAAATGTCTTTTGCATAGGCAAATTTTTTTATTGATATTTATACTGCAAATTAAATTATTTAGTTATATATATATATATATATATTATATCAATTTATATTTAACACCGGTTTTTTCTACACATACGTAAATACATACCTACTCGTATAATAAAACGGTAACTTAACGAAATCTGTATATGAAATATTTTTCAAAAACAATGACCATAATCCTTCCACGACCGCGGACACGACGGCGTGTCAGTTAACAATAGATTTCTTAGAATTTTAATAATTTTTTGAAATTTACCTGGAGATGTTAACATATTATAGAATATAAACACAAAAAAATAGAACTAGTTAAAAAAATTATCAGTTTGTCTGTCTCTTTGTTTATGCACGTTTCACGCAAAAATTTTTGTGTAGTGATAACTTATTACTCGGATCAACATTTAGGATACTTTTTACTACATGAAAATCTTTTATTCCCACGGGAAAAAAGAATAACTGGTTCTATCGAGTCGTCGTTAGAAATATTCGCGTAGGTAAATCTAAGAAAGTATTATATCGTCCTTAGAAAATTTGGCTAACGCAGTCTAAACATTAAGAGATACATAAAAACAATATAGCAGAAAATTGTAGGTCTTAAAAAGACATACAGAAAAGTCTACAATAGCATATGTCTATCTCCTAAGGTACACTCGCAATAACTATTTATATCTATTGAAATCGTACCTAGCGATGCACCCGAGCAAAGCGATGGTAAGCCGGTTGTATATATATATAATCGAAATAAGTTATTTTTACTTGTAATATTTAAATTACTTTTTCATTTAAGAAACTTTATTTTATTATTTTTACAATTGCAATACTTTTACAAAACACATTTCATAATTCATAGCGAGTAAGTAATTTAAAAGTAAAATGGAGTAATGGCAGCATAAAAACTAATTACAATATGAACTCAAACTACATATTTTATACTTCACACTACAGATCAAGGCTGTTTTATTCATAGAAAATGAAATATCTTTTAAATATTATTTAATATATTTCGTCTTTGGTAGACGAAGGGGTGTTTGGTAAAGTAAAGGCTTAGATCGCGAGTTCGATTCCCGGTAAAAGCAATAATTTGTACAAAGCAATTATAGTGAGAAACTAAAAATTAAATAGCAATTCAACATTTTTATTACCCTAATGCAATATCAAAGAACGATATTATAATTCAGTATTGCAACAATTTTAATTAGGAATTTAAATACGAGAATGTCTTTAATTATTTCCAAACTGAGTTATTGCATTATTATTATTAATACATGTATACTTTTTATTACAGTTAAGTATATTGACCGCTATTGGATTTTTCTAGTGTCTGTTTTTAGAAGTAATGTCAGTTTCAGTACTTTTTTTTAACAGTAATAGACAATAGTTATTGTCTGTAGATCATTTGATCTATATATTCAGTATTATAGTGATTACATATCGTCGTTAGTTACACGACTTACCGGTAGAGGAATTTTCTCACTCCCAATAAATTTATCGTACTACTAATCTCTCTAAGAAATTGCTGTTCAAAAAAATATATTATTCTTCTTTAAATATATATGTATTTTTTTCAACTCCATTCAAATTGTTATTAATGGCTTCAAAGCGTGCCAGTTGAGCATAGACTACTTCGCCAATGTCACGTAGAATGGAATAAAATAGCTAACGGATTTTGTTATAATAAAGAAAACAAAATAAGCTATTATTATGTCTGCTCCTTTAAGGGAAGAGAGCTAATGCTTAACAAACACAAAAGAAAATAGTATTATTTTTATTATTCAACTAGCATTGCCCGCGGCTCCGCCCGCGTTCAGATGACCAAAAACCAAATTTTTAGGTTTTACATATCAGTATACTCTTACAATGCAGTTTTTGTATTTTTTCTCAGAAATGAGATATTTTCCCGCGGGAAAAAGTATCCTATATGTTGACCCGGATAACCAGCTACCACCATACTAAATTTCATCAAAATCCCTCTAGTGGTTTTTCTGTGATGCGGTAACAGACAGACAGACAGACAGACAAAAATTCTAAACCTACTACCTAATACCCTAGATTCAGCCTCTGTATCGATAATAATGTCTATTTCAATAAATTTTCCAAAAAATATCTAATGTACAGATTCCGCTTAGTTACAATTTTATATATATTATATGAATAGATAATATTCATATTTTCTTCCCAAAGAATTGTAAATTAATGACTAATACATACATAATATGTTTCTTATCTTTTAAAGAAATTAAACACTATATAACAAAATCGAGACAAGTAGCATAAACAGCAAATCGCAACTATTTTTAACTTTGACAATTTTTCGCGGGCTTCTTCTCTTCTGCGATTCCAACTGACTTTGAGAGTCAAAGTAGAGCGAACTTGCATTCACACTTGTTCACTTATATAGTATCTTCTGCTTAGAGGTCTAGTCTCAGTGAGATTTGTCGCCATGGCAGAAATCGCTCAGCATACTATAATTTTTATTATTATGTTTTCAAATATCCGCTATCTCTCCACAAACTACTTGAAGGCTGAATCCTGCTTAGACAGTAGTTCCGACCACACTCCTGTTCTCCTAACTATTAGTACGTCCATCATTTGTTATGAGAGGCCTGATACCTTGTGCAACAATCTCACTGATTGGGAAGGCTTCAGAGAGTACATTGAGGAAAGCATCGATATAAAAGTCTCCTTGAAAACACCTGACGAGATAGATGACGCGACCCAATACATCACTAACCTCATACAAAAGGCTTGTTGGATTAACACTCCTTTAAAAAAAGAAACAAATTGCCAAACGGTCGGGAACGTACCTCTCGAGATAAAGTACAAAATACTAGAGAAGAGAAGATTACGTCGCATATGGCACCAAAGTGGACATAAAAGTGATAAGACTGCATTTAATAAAGCTATTAGAGAGCTGAAAAACTCAATAGATAATCTTAATAATGCCACACTGCAAAATAAATTGGAAAATCTAACAGCCACAAAATCGACAGAATACTCACTCTGGAAGTTTACAAACAGGTTAAACAGGCCACAGCAATATAAATGTCCGATTAGAACTCAGTCTGGTTGGACTAAGACAAGTAAAGAAAAAGCCAACATGTTTGCAAAACACCTAGCCGCCATGTTTACACCTAATGAAGGCAACAATACGAAGTTCGAAAACGAAGTCGAACGTACCCTGCAGCAGGACCTACAACTGTCCATTCCACCGAGGCCAGTCACAGTTAGGGAAATGAAGAGGACCATAAATAGAATGCAAAATAAAAAAGCCCCTGGATTCGATCTTATCACAAAAGAAGTTATCATGCAACTACCCAGGAAAGCATTGTTGTTTCTGGTCGTCCTCTTTAACGGGGTGCTTCGAGTACAATATTTTCCCAGACTATGGAAGGTATCTATAGTAACAATGATACACAAACCTGGAAAGCCTCCAGAAGACGCATCATCGTACAGACCTATAAGCCTCTTGCCCGTGCTGTCCAAGATGTTTGAGAGGATCCTCTTGAGTAGAATATCACCCATACTCAGTAAAAATCTGGTAATACCTCAACATCAGTTTGGTTTTAGACCGCAGCATTCTACGGTAGAACAAGTGCATCGGGTGTGTGATAAGATAAGACAGTCCTTCGAAAAAAAGGAATATTGCTCCGCTGTATTCTTGGATATCCAGGCAGCCTTCGATAAAGTGTGGCATAAAGGCCTTCTCCATAAAATAAAAACGTCTCTGCCGCATAGTTACTACCTGTTGATGGAGTCATACCTCACAAACAGAATTTTCCAGGTGAGAGAGGACGGAGAGCTATCTGACATCCAAGATATAAAGGCGGGAGTTCCACAGGGATCTGTCCTTGGCCCTGTCTTATATACCATCTACACTTCTGACCTCCCAGAAACACAAGGGGTAACTACGGCTACATTTGCTGACGACACAGCAATTCTCGCAAGCAGCAAGGATCCGATCACAGCGTCCGCCGTCTTGCAGGATAGCCTTGATAAGGTTGACGAATGGATCCAGAAATGGAGAATCAAAGCCAGCACAACTAAATCCGTGCATGTCACGTTTACGCTGAGGAGGGGACGCTGTGCTCCGGTAAAAATGGGGGGCAATTTTCTGCCACAGAGTGACTCAGTCCGATACCTGGGTATACATCTAGACAAAAGGCTGACCTGGAAAAAACACATCAAAACAAAACGAGACGAGCTGAGCTTACGGTTCAGAAACATTTACTGGCTGATGGCACGTAACTCCAAACTGTCAATCGATAACAAACTGCTGATATACAAAACGATCCTAAAACCAATATGGATGTATGGCGCACAGCTGTGGGGAAGTGCTTGCGACTCCAA